CAGCATCATGAGAACTCTCACTTTTACACTTGCCAGCCATTTTAAAGGGAATTACAAACAAAAATTTTGTCAGTACACAGCGCAATCACTAACGTCAGGACTCGAAAATACGTAATTTGAAAAATATTTTATACGACAATGGCGGTCGTATGTCCGGATTGTCGTAAGTCGAGGAGTACCTGTACTTGTAAATAATTTTTTTTTTATACCGTATACAGTCTCCTCGATTTACAACGGGGTTCCGTCCCGACGACCAGGTCGCAAATCGATTTGGTCGTAAGTCGAAAAGGCGAAAAATAATGCGTATAGAAATTCTAAAATGAAATACAGTACAGTAAAAGCAATCAATAATGAAAAATGAATAAAGTGCTACTGTGAACTTACCTTTAATGTAGTCAGCTGAATGCACACGGGGCCTCAATAATATTTTAATTAACCATGGAGACTACATGAATTGGATAAAGCAGAGGAGGAGACAGGGCTGGGTGGGTCATCAATTTCGCTTTCTTCAGACAGGCTAACATACTTGCTTGTTGAAGGTATTGGATCATCTTTAGGGAGTGAAGAGGCAGCAGTGGTGGGGCGTTAGGAGACAGCAGTGGGGGACTTCTTAAAATATATGTCCGTCCAATTTAGACTGCACAGTTTGCTTTTTCATTTCATTGTAAATTTCCCTGTAGCAAGCAAGTGCATCTTGGATCAGTCTGTCAACTTTTGCAAAACGCTCAACATTTTGAACCATTTCTTCAAACATTTGCTTCCCCTTATTAATAGCAGCAAATGCCTCTGCCATTTGTTTCACTGAAAACTTTTTGGGGGGGTGCAGGTTCTTCATCTACATTTTGTCTCTTCTTCCTCTGCAATTTTTTGTGCATCCAGTTCAATAAGATCCTCGTTACTGAGCTCTTCTGCTACACTTTCCCCCAACTGTTTACCCAACTGCACTATCTTGTTACTAATCACAGAAATTGCTTCATCTTCATTAAATCCTTTGAAACTGTTCATATATCTTTTCAGGACCTTCTTTCATATTCCATTCATGAACTGACCTGTAACCTCATCCCATGCTGCAGCTATGTTCTTTGTACATTGCAAAATGTTGTAGTCCTTCCAAAACTCTCTTGAGCGTTTTCTCACGTTCAGTAGCAGCAATAGCCTGAGCGAAGGTCGTATGTAAATACCTGTAATACGCTTTAAAAGCAGCAATAGCACCTTGATCCATGGGTTGGATGATAGAGGTAGTGTTTGGTGGAAGGTAGATTACCTTAACATCAGGGTGCATGTCGTCCAGGTGTGGTGGGTGTCCCGGAGCATTATCGAAAATTAATAAAATTTTGAAGGCAACCCCTTGTTGCAGACAATACTGTACAGTACTCCTTGGCTCGTGGAATAAAACAACTCAGTAACCAGCCCTCAAACAGTGCTTGGGTCATCCATGCTTTCTTATTACTGCGATAAAACACTGGCAGTGTGTGCTTGCTGACATTTTTAAAAGCCTTTGGGTTCTCTGAATGATATATCATAAAGGGTTTAACCTTGAAACCAGCTACATTCCCCCCCAACAGAAGTGTGATTTGGTCCTTGAATGCCTTGAATCCCGGCATGGTTTTCGCCTCTTTGTGGATGTATGTCCGTTCTGGCATGCACTTCCAGAATAAGCCAGTTTCATCCACATTAAATATTTGCTCAGGCAAATAATTTCCCTCCATGATGACACGATCTAGCTCCTTAAAAGCTTCGGCAGCACCCACATCAGCACTTGCTGCTTCTCCACTCACCCTTACACTGTGCAAACTGTAACGTTTCTTAAACCTTTGGAACCACCCATGACTTGCTGTGAAGTTTTGGTCGCACTGATCTCCTGCCTGCTCTTTCAGGCTTTCGAAAAGGCTTCTTGCCTTAGCCTGTATGGTTAGAAGGCTTAAGGGTACACGCTTTTGCAGTTGATCTTCCATCCACATCACAAGTAATTTTTCCATCTCATGAATAGGACCTTGTCTTTTTTTTTTTATTATTGTTTCCTTTATAGGTGCTGATCCTTTCACTAAATCACGAATTCGTTCCTTGTCCTTCAAAATTGTTGATATCGTCGGGTAAGAGAAGCCAAGGTTGCGTGAAATGGTTGATACCGTTTTTCCATTTTCATATTGCATTATTATTTTCATTTTCATCTCAAAAGTAATTGACTGTTTCTTTTTCTTCTCAGCACCACGAGAACTCTCACTTTTACGCTTGCCAGTCATTTTAAAGGGAATTACAAACAAAAATTTTGTCAGTACACAGCACGATCACTAACAACAGCATCGACGGCCAAACACCAACTGAGCGGGCTACGACATGGATGCTGTACAACACAAGGCGACCCAGCCCACGCTGTCGTACGAGACCGAAACGTTTCGGTACTAGAAAATACGTAATTTGAAAACTTATTTTCTACGACCACAGCGGTCGTATGTCCGGGTCGTAAGTCGAGGAGAGACTGTAACTGTGTATGTTTTTCCATTATACTACAATATGATTAGTTTCAAATAATGATGTTAGTAAATGGCGGTACAGTGCATCAGTGATCAGTGTGACCACTGGGCCGTGAGTGGAGAGCATGGCGTGGTTAAGTGCATGACCTACCTGAGCTGTTTGGTGGTTAGAGGTACAGTGATTCCTAAAAGAGTATTCGAGGTTTGGGCTTTTCGCGGGGGTTTCAGGAACGTAATTCCCGCAAAAAACACGGGATTACTGTACAGTACAGTATATATAAACAAATAGAAGTTGCATTTCAAATTCAAGACAAAAATATTGTATTAGAGTTTTTGCAAACTTTGTGACTAGTAAACAAGGGTGGTTTTTATAATTGCATAAATAATCTGTAGGTGTATAAAAAAACTAGCTTTATAAAATGTCTATTTAAAAGAAGTCAAAATATTTTTTGGGTCAAATTTTCATTTATTTTACTGTATACAGATCTAATGTGTACATCCACTGTTCAGCTGAAGATGTGACTAAACTAACCCCCAAGTTTGGAATAAACTGATGTAGACAATTTTAAAGCACATAAAATGTTAAAGAAACTGTTTTTTTTTTATCCAGGTTGCTTTGTTAATGGAAGATTAATAGAGTAATATATTTTTATACACCAAAAGATCTTCCTTATAACAACTACTGTTGAATAATGTATGTTTACTGGTCCCTTAAAGTTTGCATCAAACCACATCTATAAGTCATATGTTGAATAAAATATACAGATTTCAAACATTCACTGACCACCAGATCCACCTTTATTAAATATTAGAATATGTTGGAAAAAATTCTGCTGTGCACAATAATATTTGCCAAGACTGTGATTTGTTCTATATAGGAGAAACTGTTAGAAAACTTGATCCTAGAAATAAGAAACACAAGTGGATATTTAATTCCTTTAATATAAAAACAAATTATAATCATGTTTCAGACAGCAGTTGATGTATAGATGTGAAAGTTTTTAGAAGCATAGAGTTGTAAACTATTATTTATTTAAAAAAAAATATATCTGTTAATAATAAATTAGGGCACCAACATATATTCCTTTAAGAGGTTCTGGTTCTCAGGTCATTGCTTGACTGTGACTACTTACTCTATGTTTCCATGATCCTAACTTCTTGTTGCATCAAGTTATCTGTGTTTTGGGGGCTTTTATATTCTCTGTGCCTTAACTCTCCCTTGCCTACTCAAATACAGAGGGTGCTAGAAGTGGAAACAATCAAAGGAGAAGTTTCTGTCAATCAATGTGTATTTTGCTTGAAAAAAGTGAAAATGGGTCCCATAAGCTTTATGGCCTATCAGAAGTGCTGATACAGCATACTGAATGCTGTACTTAGTCTTCAGTACATTAGGAGGCAATGTGGCTGGCATTCTGCTTAACTGCCCTGCTGGGTGAAATGGGAATGCCACAGGTATAAAACAGCAACCTTTAGGGCAGGAAATGAGCACTTGACCACTGCATCCAGTTTTATTTACAATGTATTAAATATTTATAACAAAGACAGTTTAGAATCAGTTAATACTTTTCAACAACAATGTAAGATACTGTATATTAAAAGTATTAATTATTATAAAAGACTGAGGTAAACCACTTTATTATTTAATATGATTTATATTACATAATAACAGGATAAATATATATTGTAGAATTTAAATACTGTATCTAGCTTGCTGTAGTCATTTCTTCAGTATGTTGGAAAAAAAGGAGACCATGAATAACATTTTGGCATCAAAGTATCTACAGTGTTTACATTTAATGTCGGCAGTTGTATATTATTATTATTATTATTTTTAGTTTTTTATTTAATTTATTTTATTTTTTTTATGGGGATTAGCCTACCTGGGCACAGGTCATTGACCCACATCGGGGCCTAGGGGGTGAAAAAATAAGAGTAAAAAGTAATTAAAAAAGAAAAGAAAAAGATTACTACAGTATATTAATCTACACCACGAAGATGACGGAAAACCAGCTTTTTTAAGTGAGGTAGATTGTATGTGTGTGGAAGCACAGAAGAAGGCAGAGATTCCACAGTTTGGCTGTGTGAGGAAAGCAGGATGTACTATAACAGGTTATTCTAGTGTGACCGACATCCACAGAGAAACGGTGGGCACCGCAGGCAAGGTGAGTGTTACGAGCCCACGGCCTTGCCGGCGGTACACAGGATGCCAAATCCACCGAACATTGCCCGTTAAAGTACCTGTAAAAGAGAGAGTGAAGCAACATTGTGGCGATGAGAAAGGGAAGAAAGATTATCAACTAAAGTAGGAGAGTTAAAAAGACGAAATGCGTTTGATTCCACCCTATATAACAGTTGGACAGAAGAAGAGCCGCCCCAGATATGAGAGCAGTACTCCAAGTTAGGACGAATGAATCCTTTATATACTTGGAGCAACTGCTCAGGAGTGAAGTAGCTACGTAATCTGTACAGCATTCCCAGTTTTCGGGAGGCAGCTTTAGCAATGTTGACGATGTGTGGCTTCCATGACATACTGTATTAAGGAAATGGTGAGGCCTAGCATATCTATTTTAGAATTTGACGGAATGATTGCATCCTGAAATGTGATTGGTGGGAGATCAACTAATTTGGAAAGTGTAATTGCTAAATACTGACTTTTATTTCTATTGGATTTAACCAAGTGTCTACCTCCCCATTCGGAGATCTGCACAGGTCCACATTGATAAACATAATGATATCAGCTCTAGAAACAGATCTAGTTTGAGAATTAGGGGGAAGGGGAAAATGTGAAGAAGAGTGAAGAGTTGAATCATCAGTGTAAAAATGGATAGAATTAGTCATAGTGTGAAATAAATCATTGATAAAAAGAAGGAAGAGAGTAGGGGAATGAACTTACTTCCATGATCAACAAAGAAACTAGTCAGAGAACCAAGCCACTAATAAACCATGAAAACCTTATATGATGTATGAACCCTCTAAGTAACACCAAGTTTTTCCAACTTAAATGATTGAAAATTGTGCAGAAGAGAGCTGCCAGATCTCAGCAGTTGTCCTGGGGCCTTGAGGGCTGCATTCATATTCACCTGGGACAGTCATACCAAAGATGCATCTGTTACTTTTACATTCCTGAAAGGGTTGATAAAATTTTGTCTTGGCACCAGGTACAGTCTGGAACATAAGCCCTGTCGCCTTTTCTGCTGCTCCACGAACACCGAGATTCTGACTTGGGAATCTGAAGCATTTATGAACAGAATTATGCATCACCGTTCATGGAGCAGCATTAGAGGCGACAGAACTCTTGTTCGCGAATGTACATTCTTTGGATACCGATATATTATCTGTCAACCTAAGGGCGAGTGCACTTTCATGATTGGCCTTCATTATTCTCTCCTGATACAAATTTTCAAGTTTTATAAAAGTAGGTCTTAGTATGACTGCCTGATAAGGATAACACAGATATGGCACAATGTTTACTAAGTCTTTGTTACACAAGGAGGCAGTACGGCCGACACTGCACCGTCTTCACTTCTCCAACTTGTAAAGGGAGTGTTTCTGGTGTCAGTTTATTCTATTACATTTTGTCTTTTTACAGAACAATCTTTTCTTTTTTTGACAATGTACTTTACATCTCAGTAGGGGCCATGGCACTACCAGTACTAACAAGATGAGTACAGTTAACCCTCACTTTACGCGGTTAATGTAACCCGCAGGGTCCCTGTAAAGTGAGGAACGCGTAAAGTGAATAACATAACATATGGGATTAATTGAAATAGAGTCCGGGCTGACCCCCAAACTCCACTTTGTGACGACACACAACTATGTTGTAGTAAAAATTTTATCTTAACTTTATGATGGTATGAAAAAACAAGTAATATAGAAGAGGTTAGGTTAGGAAAAATAAAGGTTAACATAGGAAAAATAAAGGTTAGGTTAGGAAAACTAAAAGTTATGTGGAACACTTATGTTAGTAGAAGAGATGGGTCGGCATACGGGGATGGAGGCTGGTTCCGAGGCAGAGGGCAGATTTCTGGCCCTCAGGTGAATCACCATTACTAGGTGAATCACCATCACTGTCACATACAGTTGTCAGGGCTTCCCTGACAAATCCCTCAAAGTCATCTTCACTGTCACTATCACTGGCTTGGGCTGGCTGTGGTGGGTTGCGGGCGAAGAACTCGGTTATGCTTTTTTGACGGCTGGTGTTTATGTTGTCTTGATACACCGTGATGTACGGCTCCATAGCCTGCACCAGCCGGGTATGGAAGACTTCATAGCGGTCATCGTCATTGTCGCGGGAAAGGAAGGACTTCATTTTCTCTGCACACTCCATGGCACCCTTAATATCACTATGAGTTAAACTGTGTTCTTCGGAGAATGACGCACCTTCTTCCTCCTCTTCACTGACGTGATCTTCTTCCAACATCTCGTCGGCAGTCACTTCAGGATCTCTGATCACCTCCAGGATGTCGTCGTTGGTGGTCTCGGAGAAGCCTGGAACTGTAACAGTCTGCGCAGCTTCTCTGGCAAGGTCCACTGCTACTGCAACAGTCTGAACCTCACAGATTGACTCCTCCTCTCACCTGGTATTCCATGCAACACATGTCTCCATGCGTGACGAATTGTAGCAATAGACAGCTGATCCCATGACTCCACCAAGAAGTCCACAGCTTTCTTGATGTTAAATACTCTCCAGAATTGTTTGAACAGTATTTTTTGCTGTGCAAACTGTTGATCCTCATCCTCTTCGCTCTTGCTATCGGTGGTGGTGTCACTCAGGTTACGCAACTCTTCCCTGGTGTTGGTGTACAGTAGTCGTTCAGGAGTTTGAATTTTTTCGTAGAGAATGCAGCTTTTACATTACAGATTAACTCTTGGTCCATGGGCTGTAATAACGTAGTGTTGGGAGGAAGGAAGACCACTTTTACGTTGGGGTGATGATCTAACAGTAGGGGCGAGTGTCCTGGTGCGTTGTCCAGCAGCAACAAAATCTTGAATGGCACATTCTGTCGCTCACAGAATTTCTTTACATCGGGAACAAAACAGTCATCAAACCAGGAGAGGGACAGTGTAGAGAACATCCACGCCTTACGTGCGGTCAGCCAGTGGACATTTAGCTTGGTCATGTCCATGGTTTTGTAGGCGTGCGGCTTGCGTGCTGTGTGGATCACCGATAACTTGAGCTTACAGGTACCGGAGGCATTGGTGGTAAACAGGACGGTGATGCGTTCCTTCTGCATCTTCCGGCCCCGAATCTTGCTGGCATTCTTTACAACGAAGGACTTGGAAGGTAGCTTTTTCCAGAAAAGACCAGATTCGTCCATGTTAAACACCTGGTCGTCACTGTACTGTCCTTCCTCCATAATCTCACGTAAAAACGGAGGAAATTCCCTAGCCGCAGCACGGTCAGCACTCGCTTCTTCACCACCAATGTTTATATTGGTGATCTTGTTCCGGATCTTAAACCTCTGTAACCACCCAGAGGAAGCATTAAAGGGTTTGGGCTCTGTAATTCCCATCTTTCGTGCCACTGCGATGTACAGTTCACGTGCGTAGTCCTTAACAGAGCGCGTGTCGACCGCCATGTTCCGTCGCGCCTGACGCACCAAGTACCTCACAAGTAATTTTTCTGTCTTGAGAAGCACCTGGTTGTGAAAATACTTGATCATAGAAGCACCTGTAGACTTTGTGATCTTCATGTGCTCCTTTATCTTGGCTGCATCCTTCTTTATTGTTCGAATCGTAGATTCATTCAAACCGTGCTGGCGCGCCAAATCAACCTGCCTTGTTCCTTTCTCCAACTCTTGGATGATGGTATACTTCACCTCGTAGCTTAAGGAACGTCGTGTCTTCTTTGGCTTAGTGCCGCTGGGTCCAGGTAAGGAAAGGTTTCTCTCTGGGGGTGGTGGTCCGGCGGAAGCCATTTTAGAGAACAATGGATGCACGTTTACACGGTCTGGCGTGGAGGGATGAAACTGGCGCGGCTAGGTCAAGGATGGTCTTTCCTCCCTCCCTCCTTCCCTCCCCCGGGTGGACACGTCATAATACTTTAAGCCAATTACAGCTAGCAGCAGAGGGGGGTAGGTATGCATGGCCAATCACAGTCCGATACGTCATATGACGTCAGTGATAACGCAACAAAGACACACACTGCGCAACCTTACCGCGCGGCTTGCCCAAGCGGAGGGAGGAGGAGGGAGAGGCGAGGAGCACAGGCAGGCAGGCGGGTGGGGCGAATCTAAAAATAGCGTCGCGCCGGACACTCTCCGCGTAATGGGGTTCACGCACCGCGTAATGTGAGCACGTTAGGTTCTGGCAAGGCACCGCGTAAACGTGGAAACACGGAATGTGGGACCGCGTAAAGTGAGGGTTAACTGTATACCCTTGATAACTCGGCATTCGATATCTCGGAAATTATTATAAAATAACTCGGGAAATGCCGAGTTATATAAAATTATCTGGCAAAATCTCAGCATATTTGGCCACGTGGGTAACACTAGCTGTGCTGCGCTCCAGGCTTGGTCAGTCTGGTGGTTGTTATTTTTGTGGTCAGGTGTGTGCTGGCTCACTCCACCCAGTACATGGACGTGGGAAGGGAGGGTGCTGTAGCACCCCAATGTTGTGGGTATAAGGTACTACACATTGCACCAGAAAATCTATAACACCAAAATTAATATTCACCACTCCCTGGTAAAATTTGGTTCCTGTGGTATTAACACTCAACAACCTCCCATATTCATATCAGGCCAGCCACTGTATGCAGAAAGTTTCCACTATTACGATAAATTCAATGTTGTAGACTATTTAATTTACAGTGCAATTCATTTTATCCGAATTCCAACTATCAAAATCTTCCAGGTATCCCAACTTTGTCCCCTTTGGTAAAAATTCTAATTTAGTGCAACAATCTGAAAGCAACTGAAGTTATTTATCCGTGTGTCTGACACCTGTAGCGCTATAACCGCTTTTTAAACAATAAAATTGATACATAGGATATCATAAAATACAATAGCACATAATTTACATACAAAAAATAGCTCCTTCCACACTCAAACCATCATCTAAGCAATGCCACAGTTCAGCCAGTCAGTCAACCAGCTGACTGAGGTGTGTGTGTCTGCTGTGATGTCACATGGGAGGGAGGGAGGCAGATGAGTCAGCCACACAGTACAGCTCACTGAGAGGCCTTCACATACAGTATGTTCGCCTTCCCCACACACACTCACACATATGCTCTTCATTTTTCTTATTTTATAGTTTTATATTATATTTAATTTATTTCTAAGTCACAGTATTTTAATCTTTGCTCTAATAAAGAAAATGGTTTTACTAGGGAGGAATATAATATCCTGAGTGATATAAGTTATGTGTTTATTTACATACTTCGACTTGAATTATATGTAGAGAAAATTTTTTTTTAAACATATTCTTTTTTTATATGAGTGACCAAATCACAGTAGTATACATAAGTGCAGCAGTGTTTGCTGTTTATGTAGCGTTTCCCCTCCATCACCTACCATTCCCGTGCGTCACCTATCATGGCTCTGTATCACCTACTTCAAAGCTTCATTCTTCACCTGCAGTAGTATTATTTTTATAAATTAGTTATTACATGTACACGTATATGGGGAGTGCCTCAATAAGTCGGAATTTGGGATAATTTGGCAAGGCCAGAGCCCCAAATGTGCTGAGTTATCAAGGTTTTACTGTATGTATGTTTTTATGTTAAAGTACAATGAATCATTTACTTTCCACATGACACTAATCAACCAGACCTACCCCAGGTAGTTTTGTTTATTTTATTTATGTATTTATTTTTTAATGGGGATTAGCCCACCAGGGCACAGGTCAATGACCCACATCAGGGCCTGGGAGGTGAAGATAATAAAAATACAAATTAAAAAGATTAAATGTAATAATAATATAGAACCATAAACAAATGCAAAAAAAAAAAAAAAAATCAATAGTGAGAAACGATAGATATATGTTGTGTTGTCAAAGTAAGAGAAACAATTGAGACCCTGCAATTGTGTGTAAATGAGGCAGAAAGTCAGATCAGCAACCTGAGACTTGGTCAAAATTTTCGTGATGCCATATGGCAGCAGGGTCTACCATTAGACAACACATTATGCTTCCAATATCTTCCCAAGTGGTAGTACCTCCCTGTTTGATAGCTGCCTACTACTTACTACCTAAAAGGTAAGATTGGAAAGGGAAAATATCCTATTCATGGGATTTCTTTTCCAACAATAAATGGTACCTATTACAGGTACATGCTACAATGGCATGTGAGCAAGTGCTGTTATCAGCAGTGGCAGCAACAACAATAGTGGCCACTTTGATGTGAAAACTACCACAGTAACAATGATCATAATGCTGATCCTTTTTGTTAGTCATTATATTAATCATTATTCATTATGAACTTGGTCTCTTGAAAACTTTAATATAATCCAAATATACACTTTAACTATATTAAGGTCTCATATTTAAGGATAAACTTTATTGTTATTTTAAAAAATAAATATTATAATATAGGTTTCTCTTCCTGTTTACAGTACCCAATTCATAAGAACCAAGTAAATAATATTTAAATTTTTTGAGAAAAATTACTTTAAAAAATAATTATCATACAATTATTTTGGTATCTAGCAACAGTGCACAATTTACAGTACAGTATATATTTACCAGTACTGTACAGTTACAGTGAATCTTTATCTGAATTTTTAGCATAATGATAAAATTCTTCTCCACCACATTGTAAAATTTTTTGATTATTGCAATTTGTTGATATACTGGTAGAAAACACATGACTGATTGTTTAACTTTGTTTACACATGTTATGCCAATACACCTCAATAGATTTTAGCTTGTTAAATCTATGTGACTGGTGCCAGTCCTGCTAGGCTCCAACTTAGCCTGACCATTAAGTTTGGGGTCAAGTATAAAATCCAATGGGGGTTCACCCTTAAGATTAAGTTACAGGTAGGTTGAGAGCCCATTAGGACTGGGCCCCTTTGAACTGCAACTAAAATACTGCACTGAAGATTGAGACACTTAGAAGAAAGATATTACACCAAAGATCATCATATAAAAAATCACTCAGTACTGTTTATAAATGTAAAACAATGTGTGTGGGAAGTCTGATGTGATTGCTAATAACACAAGTTGGTATTTGAGAAAAGTGGGTTCCCAGATATTAGAGAGAGATACAATCAATAAAGTGAAGGAGATATCAGCAAATTTAAAGATGGTGATATAAGAGGAAAGTTTGTTGACACACATGCCGGGGAGAAGTATAAATACTGGTATTTTCAACCCTTTAATTGTGATGACATTGTTCTTAAGGGGTAACATTCCTGTACTCAAGGGATTAAGTCATCTCACTCGAGGCTTATCATCATACTCAAGGGGTACGGGAGTATGAAAGAGAGAGTGTTGACTTGGGAAAATACAAGGTATTGGAGACTGAGTTTGAGATGCAAATATATATACTGTAGTGTAGAGATACATAGGTAAGTGTAACTTAAAGAGGAACATGCAGGGAAAGTTCAGCATAAAATGGGAGTAGAGTAGTTTATAGAGTGTGTGGTGGGAGACGTGTTACAAGGAGAGTATGGTGCTTGCAAGGGATTGTGTGAATCGGTTTTCTAGTGATTAGTCCCATTGGATTATGAGTAATGGTGCACAATGTACACAACTGATTTACCACATACTGAAATAAAAGCGGTTTTATATTTTCATTTAAACAGTTAGCTCCCAACAATGTTCAGAGCTTAATGAAATTGGTTCATTAAGAAAAAAATTCAGACTAGTAAAGAAACATTGAATTTAGCTTTTTTTTTTTTCAATATTTAATTGTCTTTTATAAACCACTCCATCATCTTTTAAATTGTCAAAATGCTAAAATCAATAATGATTTAATACACAAGAATGTACAATAATATAAACTAAACTTAAAAATAACATCTTAATATTAATCATTGAGCAAATGCATTTTCCATCTCCGTACAGCACTTTAGACTGTTAAAATTTCATATTAAATGAACTGCTGTAATTCTAATTGTTAACTGTTAGTTAAAACTCATGTTGGTACACAGGCGTCACTTCATCAAAACTTGATGAAGTAGATTCTTATCATTGTCAACAAAAGTACACTGTATAATGTTGTAGATGAATGGTAAGCTTGGCCCTTCACAACCTGTACCATTACAGTAGTTATGTCTTCTAAGGTACTGGACAGCTGGACCACATTGAACTTAACCATTATGATTGGAGTTCAGTCTTCATGGGCTCCAACCTTAATGCTTAGGTTATGCTGAGGCCCATTTGACCTACAAACTCTTCTAAGGAAAGTGACTAGATCCTAATATAAGACTACTATATATATTCAATACCAAAAATGTATAAATATAAAATAAATTAATCTCATCACCATCATTTCACCTTGAAGTCAGGAGAGAGAACTTCTTGGCAGGCACGGTAGATGTGTTGCAGACAAGCCAGACGTGGCCATGTATTCTGTGGAAATGATGGTGTGTGAGTAGTACAACATGTATCTTGTATTAGTACTTAGCCAACTAACCTACTCATCTCAAAATTTTTACTATCATATGTCCATTACATCTTCATTAGTGACTGGCTAAATGGGTGACATTCCTAACCTAACTGTTAGGATTTCAGCCTGGTCTAAATGGGCTTAAAACCCAATACCTGTAGGGCCCAATCCTAATGTTTAGGTCAGGTTGGGGGTCTATTAAGACTGGGACCCATGTAGCCTGCAATCAGTATATTGATCTCTAAAGATTCTGTTTTCTGCCAACCACATATCAATATTTTGCCTGATATCACAGAAGTATGCATCTAGTATATGTTTTGACTGGCAGGGACACATAGTGTGACTGCACATTTAAAAGTGAATGATTGGAGTTGAACACAAAAACAATGGTTACTTTAGGCACAGCTAATGGGTCTGTAGCTCAGCTGGTGGAGCATTTGGTAAGCAAGTGAATGATCACAGTTTCTGACCATGATGGAAGATTGTGTTCCCTCCTTGTCCATTAGCTAATGATCACTCGACAACAAATGAGTACACTGTTGGTTACACTTGCTAATGGTGGAACCAAACATCAGTGGATTAGCATCCTGTTAAGGGGATGGGGTAATCTACTAGCTGTTGAATGTTAAGCATGTGATCAGCACCCAACTAACCAACTTTCATCACAGCAGGAAGAGGCTTGTATGAAATAAATAAATTTAAAGTACCGGGTACAGTATACTACCCATGTGTTGTTTGCTTATTTGCACTAATTAGTTTTGAAGGATAAGCTTTTTAAGTAGTTATGATTAAAAAACACACATGGGCTCAAAATGAATTTAACAAAAGGAGTATGAGCCTTCATAGCACTCGAAATTGCAACATAAACATTCTGTTGTTAGCAAGCTTTCAATTTTTTTTTTTAATTCAAAATTTGTATTGGGCTCTCTCTCTCTCTCTCTCTCTCTCTCTCTCTCTCTCTCAAGCCATCTAATACCTTCCATGCTTTTGGTACTCTGAGGTTCAGCTCTCCTCTCATATTTCCAGTTGCTGATACATGTACTCCATGCATATTGACTGATGACTGGCTACTCATACTAGAATGGTTTCATTAATTTCATATTCTTCGGGGGATGTGACTTCTAAATACTACGTAATTTCCCATCCATACATCTTTTTACATAATAAAACTTCCCAGGAACTTACCAAAAAGAGAGGGATTAGTTTTGGGGTTGGCACTGCTTTATCTCTCTTCACAAGCAGCGCCATGTAAAACAAAACTCGTTGCTGTTGAGAGAAGTTTATAAAGTTACACAAGACAATTATGGTACATGCGGAAATAATAACAAAGGGAAGGTTCATGGCAAAAGAGATTCATAGGAGTGAGAAACAAGCTACCGGCATACAAGCAGAAAAGCCGAGGAAAAAAGTACAGTATGTGAATGGAAGAATTAAAGAGGAGATTTTGAGATAAAGTGGTCTCTTGTAAATAGGGGTTAAAGAAGAATGTGAAACGCTGTCCTAGAAAATGCAAGTTCAGTGTAAAGGTAAAAGAAAATAAGGCAGGAAAATTATGAAGAGGAAGTGACTGTGTTGCACTTGCTTCTGGCCATCCTGTGCCATAAAGGGAGAAGGCCTGCAAGTATGAATAGAAGTGTAATTTATGACTGTGAGGCAGGTCAGTGTATAGGTTAGCAGTATGAGTGTAGATAAAAAAATACCTATTAATGGGACACAGGAAAACTTTCCTCTTATGGTTGTGAGGCAACTTGTCAAATAGGGCCCAACCTAACCTAATCTTGCCATTTGGACTTGGGTCTGGTTCTAATAGACTCCAATCCTAATGGTTAGTTTGGCTAGGCCCAATTGACCTACAACCTATATGGATCTATTGGTAAATGTGACAATTTTTCAATCAGTCTATCAATCTTAGTTTGTTCTGAAAATAATGGGATGAAACAGTTGTACCGAACATAACTTGAAACTTCCACACACTGAATATTTCATAACAATGAACTTGTCTCACTAATTTAATTCATGTGTAAGATTTGTTTCGATTCTCTTTCCAAACTACAGTAAAACCTCGATTAACCGACCACATATGGGGGGAAGGGGCCGACGGATAATCGAAAAGGTCGGTTAATAGTACAAAAAGTCTACGGAAATAAAACATACATTTTCAAAATACCTTTCCGTAACCTACCTCATTTAAGTCCCTCTATTCATTTTTGTTCATTTGCCATTCATATTTCAATAGAATTTGCTTTAAAACATTAACCACTTTAGTAAATAAATATGAACCAGCACAGAAACCGTGAATAAAAAATGGAAAAGTCAAAGAACATATGGCATCACGAAAATTGTGACCTAGTTTCAGGTTGCTGATCTGACTTTCTGCCTCATTTACACACAATTGCAAGGTCTGAATTGTTTCTCCTACTATTGACAACACAACATACATACAGGTACATTGTTTCTCACTCTTGATTTTTTTTTTCATTTTTGCATCTCTTTATGGTTCTTTTTTACTATTATTATTATTATTAGCATTATTAATATTATTACATTATCGCCCCCCCCAGGCCCCGATGTGGGTCAGTGACCTGTGCCCGGGTGGGCTAATCCCCATAAATATTTTTTTTTTTTTAGGGGTTCGGGATTGACAGTTAATCCAAAAGTCGGTTAATCAAGGGTCGGTTAATCGAGGTTTTACTGTACGCTCATCACATGGATTTAACTTTGAGAACTTTCAAACCATTTCTGTACTTGAAGCATCAATTTGACTCGCCTGTAGGAACTATTTAATTCTCATTTCTTACTGATTCACTAAACTAAATCATCAATGGGAAGTTAATTTTTCATTATATTGGCCTTTCATGTTAAATTCACTCTACTGCACAAGATTTTATTATACCCCTGGACTTCTCAGGAAAGAAATTAAATACCTAAGATAGGTATCTTAAACTGTGCATCTCACACCTGGGGATAAAAGTATTCTGTGCAACTCACCATGGATATAGTTTCAGCAATGATGATGTCAATTACATCACCCCAGGGTATAAATCTTGTGTGCTGTTTGCCTGTGTAAAATGTTGCAGTTGTCTGCACGCCAAGTCCTGCCACAACCAGCAGTGACTCTGAAACAATAAACAAAATTCTATGTAATTTCTGACATCCATTTTTTTCTTTATCAAACTGTGCTGCATACAGGCATCCCCCATGTACTGTACAGTGACTTTCCAAGATTTAGATTCACACATATGCAGTTTACTTTTTACTGCCCAAATTTTGTTTATATACAGCACCAATTTAAGGTTTTAAGTACACAGCTGTGCATTGTGCTTTTCGCCTTCATAGTGTGTAGTGCATCATGGGAAACCATCTAGTGCACCATATACCACCAAAATGTCAACAGAATGCACATACTGTACAGCTTGTTTTGGTACTGTACTCAGTACCATTCCCAGAGTCCCTGGGCCTCAAAGGGCCTCTGTCACCACACCCAACCCGCACATCGGAGCCCCCCCCCCCAGAAAAAAAAGGCCTTGATAATAGCAAAAAAAAAAAATTCTTGTGGCTGACCTATGTGTGGAGGTTGAGACTCCAACCTCAGTTTCAACCTCAATAATGCTTTGGGTAATTTTTCTCAATTAAACAACCTGTAACCTAATATTCAAGTCATGTTTATTCTGCCCAACACCACTTCCTTAATTCAACCAATAGATCAAGGAGCGATAATTAAAAGTAAAAGGTAGACATAGCTGTATCTAAGCTGCTTTAAGCTATTGGTGGGCCAAACATGCCACCTTTTGGGGAGTTGAGACCAAGGCAGCATCCTCCATGCCAGTGGAAATGTCAGGAGTGTGTGGGATGAAGTCAAGTCCAGCAAGATGAAGTTTGGAAGGTTTTGTGGTTTAAGTGCACACATGATTCTACAGGCTTTGCAATGCTGTTATCAAAAATGGCTTTGGCCAAATTTGTGATAAAGCAAATAACTATGCCCACTGGAATTCTCTTCTATTTCTTCTAGATTTTGGAAATGTGTCAATAACTGTGTTTACAAATACATATCTGTACAAATAACCTTTTAAAATAATACCACCTTAAAGATACATTATTTGACTGTTTTGCCAATAAATCCTACTAATGCAGTACTCACCTGAGACAATTTTTCCACGAACTCTGTAAACAAAGGTTGCTAGCTGCATGAGAACAGCCAGAAGGAGCCATGCTAAGTGGATTGTGTGCATCTGTGTGATGAAAGCCATCATTGCGAGGATGCTGGTGTATCCCAGCCATGGTACAAATTGAATGCGGCCACCACTCACACACACCTGTTGGCAAATTCTTGTCATCACTGAACACATCTGGTAAGGCAGTCAGAAAGAGCCAGAGAAAAAGTTTACAAGTGGAAAAATAGTCACATAAAAGACTAAAGGTCATTATGGAACTCATGGTAGTGTTCTTAATGGCCATGACTTAACATCATAAACACGAATACCGTAACCATAGCACTAAACTGCCTGTAATATGTAAAGTAAGGTATCCTGGTAATCTATTTTTGTATGATATAAGTACCCAGGTTGACAACCCTTTATCCAAAAACCGAAAGTTTGTTTTGTGGATCATTTTTATTTTATTATTTTTTTTTTTACAGGTATTAGCCCACCCGGGCACAGGTCACTGACCCACATCGGGGCCTGGGGGGCAAAAATGTAGTAGTAATAATAATAATAATAATAATAATAATAATAATAATAATAATAATAATAATACAGTAATAATAATAATACAGTAATAATAATAATAAATTCATAGTAAATAAAAATTTTAATAAAAAATACACAAAAATATTTATTTATTTATTTTTTTACTGGGCACCCCCCTACATCCTTGTGTAAGGTGAAGCGCAGAAGCGTTTACCGCGCCCAACAGGGAAGCATGCTAAGTTCATGCTTGCCTTATGTCCAATGAGTTAAGGGCGTAGAAGCCTGAAGAGTCAATAGTTTTATGTCTGAGCAAGTTATTGGAAGCTCCAACAACTTGTCCCTGAACACGAATTCGCAACTTTCGATTTACAGCAGGTACCTACTTTGCTGCTAGGTGAACAGGGACCAAGGAGAATAGGAAGAGTGTCCAAACAACTTCCGCCGGCCCGGGAATCGAACCCGAGACCTTGCTTGCGAGGCAAGAGCGGTACCGCTCCACCAACGCCCCCCTTAAAATAAGAATGATAACAATAATAATAATAAAATTAATAATAATAATAATAATAATAATAATACTGTAATAATAAAATAATAATAATAATAATAATAAATAAATACAAGAAAGAAAAAAGATCAAAAGTGAGAAACAAGACCTAGACCTATGAATTACAGTCGGCCCTTAACATACGCGGGTTTAACATACACGGATTTGCAAATACGCGGATCGCCGCTGGAGGAATATACATTCAAATCGCGCGCGACACCACACACACACACACACACACACACACACACACACACACACACATCGCCCGCCACGCCACCCTGCGTTCCCGCGCTCCCTCAGTCAGTCAGTCTCGCTGTAACCACGCTTGTGTTGACATTAGCTACAAGAAATAACGCTGGAGAATTTGGGGGAGGTGACCAGGTGTATTGAGGCACTGAAAAACCTGGCCTATGGTATGGACCCCTCCATGGTGCGTGCCCTGAAATTCATGCGAGTGGATGGACGACGTTTTTGCTCCATAGAAAAACATCATGGAAGAGAGATGACAACTCCCCATCACCATGTTCTTTGATCGCCGAAGGAGAGATACAACACCATCCATCACTGGCGGCAGTGAGGAAGCAGCTGAACCCACCGTCGCCCCCACTTCACCACCCGTTATGGAAACGAGTGACGATGACCCCCCTCCTGTTGCCGAGGAGAGGTACGGTACAGTAATGTGAAATTTTTAATATCTCTTTTTTTATAGCTTTTCTTGCCATGTTTATTGTTTGTAGAAATGCACAGCACAGTGCAGTTCAGTACTGTACATAGGAAGTGGAGGTGCAGTTATTCACAAAACATTTGTGTTTGTTGTCGGCAGTAGTGACAATGTGGAGGCGGAAGGATAGAGCAGGGACGAGTGGTGACGCTCTGGAGGCGGGAGCAGGGACGAGTGGAGATGCCAGCCAGTACATTATTAATTGATTTTATAGCTCTTTTTGCATTTTAATATTAAATAAAGTGTTTGTAAACATGTACATAGTGTTTTTCTTTACTTAAATAAGGACATGGGGGGCCAGGGGTATTTTTAGGGGGGGCAGTAAAAATACGCAGATTCTTAACATTCACGGGTATCTCTGTTACCTAACCCCCGCGTATGTTAAGGGCTGACTGTATTATTATTATTATTATCGTTATTATAATTATTATTATATCTTAGCCCCCAGGCCCCAATGTGGGTCAGTGACCTGTGCCCGGGTGGTCTGATCCCTGTGGTAAAAAAAAAAAAAAAAAACTAACCATTCTGAAATCCAAAAAATTCCGAAAACCGAAATGCATCTGGTCCCAAGGATTTCGGATAAGGGATTGTCAACCTGTATATTCAAGAGTGTCATTACAGTAAGTTTAAAAGTACAGTGGGGTATGCTATAACGAACGGATCCTACTACGAATGTTCCTATAACGAACGGTTTTACCTATAAAATTGAGAATGCTATAACGAACGCAACTCCTACAACGAAGGCGGATGAACACGGGACTATTTCATCTCGCGCATGAATATTGTTGTACCGCGGTTCACAACAAGAGCGTGAGGCGCCATCTTTGTCTCATTGTGTAGCCAGTGCACCACTGTTATTGTTGAAATTTCGTCTTTTGATGTGGAAATTCGCGTTATTTGTATAACTATTTTGTTATACAAGTATACAATTGTAACAATGAATCGTCCAAAGTGAGTGAGAAAGCTAATAACCCTTGAAACTAAGAAAGAAATTATAAAGAAACGTGAGAATGGAAGAAGCATTGCGAAACTTAGTGATGAATATGGGTTGGCTAAATCGACTATATGTACGATTTTGAAGAATAAAGAGGAGTTAAAAACTGTGCAAGTGGCTAAGGGAATCTTTAGACTTAGCAAAGCAAGGTGTAATGTGATTGAAGAGATGGAAAATTTACTCTTAGTGTGGATAAAGGAGAAAGAAATGGCAGGTGATAGCATTAGTGAAGCTATAATTTGTGAGAAGGCCAAACAATTGTTTGAGGACCTTCAAGCCAAGACTCTCAGTGCAAGTGATAGCGCTGTGCCAGTGTTTAGGGGTACCTGCATGCTGAATAACACTAAGGTAAGATAAAGTACCGTATTTTTTACATTTTCCACAGAAAATTTTCAGTGTTAAGTGGTTGTATTTGGGGGCCTGGGACGGATTAATCCTATAACGAACGAGGTTCTAGAACCAATTAGATTCGTTATAGCATACCCCACTGTACTGTATTGTACTGTATTACATACAAAGCCTAAATGAGAGGCAATTTAAGAAGGGTAGGGCTACTGCCTTAAGCATTGCCTCGGAGTCGGAAATCTACACTGGGTTTGTAATTACAGGTATGGATTGAGTGTTGAGTCTCATTAAGATATCAGTGTGTGGGTGATCATAACTCAGACGAGGGAAAATGAATCTGAATACCCAACTACTTTCATTTAAACCAACTCAAAACAATCTCACCGATGCTTGAGCTTCACAAAATATTCCCGTCTTCTAGAGGACATAGAAGAGCATAATAAATGAATCATCACCGAACTACAGTATACCATATTTGATTTTAGCAACTGCATGGTTTCAGTTGTTTCCCTACCACAAGGTCAGGAGCTCTGAGCAATCATCCACAAACCTTTTCCTTTTTCCTAACTTTTAATCCCTATAAAGTGTTTGAAATGGGTCACATGAAAGGAATGATTATGTGAAAAAGAAAACATGTGTAGCTATACTGTATATGGTAACTGTTGCAGATAAGTTAAAACTAATAGAGAGGCAATGAAGTAATCTTTATACATAATGGGTACTGTATGTAGTCCTTAAAATCAGTCACTTTTACCACATTTAAATGTTCTCACAACTCTCTAGCTCATCCATTCCATACTACAGCATAATTTATATTTTATATTTATTGTTCTCTACCTATTATTGCCTATTTACAGGGTTAATATTAAGTAGTATTTGGGTTGATTATATTTATTATGCTTCATTTACAAGCACTGTGCATTCTCTTCTATATTCCAGAGTCCAGGCTTTCAGTTAATCTGGCCACCCCTCCCCCAATTACTCCAGACAACTGAGAGTTCAGTGTACATTACAGTACAGTACAGTATTGTGTTAAAGAATATTTACTGTATTTCTCAATTTTTTACACATAGTTATTTTGTATAGGTAAATCATTTATTTACACCTAGTGTCCTTTCTCGCCTCCAGTGTCCCTTGCTTCATTCACCACCATATAGATAATAACGCTGCTGCTTCTTCCTTGATTTGTATGAGATTTCATGTGATAACCTGTGTAACCATGACTGAAAAATGACCAGCAAGTGATCCTGCTGCCTCGCTGTCTCTACATTGAAGAGGTCTAAAAAATCCATCAGTTTGCATGTCAAACTAGATGTCTTAAGCGTTTTGAGGTAAGAGAGCGTGGGGTGGATATTGAAAGGGTGCATCAGTGGAGAGAGCACAACGCATGCCTTAGTTCTTGTACACAGCATTACAGCAAGGATGCCATGCAGCTGTTATGGATGCTAACCATAACACTTTTAACATAGGCTGTAATTTTTCCTCCCAGACTTTTTCTTTTATAAATAATACTTATACTGTAGTATATCTTTACTTTTGTACTACATAAACCACCAAATTTTGACCACTATTGTACAGAAACAGTAACTTTGCAATCTTTTTACTTTCATTTTTCCATTGCCTTTCATCCTGAACAGTAATCTACATCCATCTGCAATGTCCTGCTAATATAATTTTTGGGGGTTCAAGCACTGTTGATATGAGAAGTCTTTCAGCAAACATTCCACTTGTCAGCAACCTCTACCCATTACCACAATAAGATAAAACAACATTTAACCAAACCAACTGAACATTACCAAACTTAATGATCTTAACCAAACTAAAATAGGGTAATTTCTTGTTAAGTTTGGTTGGTCCATCTTATTTTGGATTAATGATATTATGTAGCAGTCACTGAAAGCATTCATATGGAAAGTCTGCTGGAAGCATTCAGAAGCTGGTAAATATTTTTATGAAAAACAAGAAATTGCCAGAGATGGCTGAGGCAGACACATGTCCAGAAAAAAAAAGTTCAACAATTGTAATTCTTGTTTTATATTGTGATTTTCCTAATATAAGGAAGAAATTGTCGTACCAAGTTATCTTCAATATTAGTTAAAAATAGGGGTAAAGATGGAGGAGACCATTAGCACCAGAAGGACTTTAAGGAATTTCACAAAATGTTCAGATATTGTTTGGATGATATAAGGAATAAAATTGAGGCAATAACATTGTTGTATTTTATTTTATTTTTAGTCTATCCTTCGATCATAAATTACTTGTCATTGGGCAGGGCATGAAAGAAGAAGGAAATAACGGGATAAGAACATTGCGAACACTGATCATATGGCAGTAATTTCACATCTCTATGTCCTTTGTAGGCAAAGAAATAAAATATTGACTATAATTATGGCACCATTGGATCTCCTGAGGCCACCATGTTTTGGTTCAATCATCTGCTATACAGAGAATCTGCGGTCTCTGTTAACATGTGAAGAAACAAACGACGATCTCATTGGACATGTGTATTGCAATCTATATTGGATTGATTTCGTTAATTTTTTCTGGAGATGTTTGGAGAATTGAAAACGACAATTACAGGTTAAGAAATTAGGTGAGGTTAAGTCAGGTTCTAATAAGTTCTGTGCATTCTCGCTCCCATTTTTGTGTTCAGTATCATGCAAATAGTATCTCCAGAATTTTTTCTTCAATTATGTAAGTTATTTCTGGTGGTAACAGTCTCCTCCACCTTTACCAAATTAGGTACTTTATGTAAAAACTAAAGGTAAGCATTATAATTATTATTAATACTATTTTTTTTTATTGAAGGAACTTTCCTTTTACAGCCACCCAGATGGTTAGTAAGCTAACGTGGTGAAATAATAAATACAAGATAAGGTGAAATCCCAAAGGTTAATGTGTTTATCATTAAATGTAGGCTGTGGATATTTGTAAGGTTGTGGGTTAAGGTTTTTTTTTTTTTTTTTTGAAACACACCAGAAAGATTCGATAGCATTGCACGAAACTTTATGGAAACGTTATATACAATCAGTTCAATAGATAAATGGGAACGAGCACAGACCATATTATGATTTAACTAACTTTACCTAAAGTAACCAACCTAACTTTGCAGAAAACCCTTTAAAACATACCTAACGACCTAGAATTCAGCCTCATGTTCATTTAACTATTTAATAGATTGTTGCAATTAACATGTCCACAAAGTTTCGTCCAATTCTATCAATTGCCGATTCATTTAGTGGCAACAAGCGAAATACAGAAATATACCTAACCGACAACGATAACCGGACAAATATCCACGTTATTAAATCTAACTCCAACCCTGGCCCCTGCTCACCTCTAGCGCTCGTTTGTTACACAGTGATGGGTCTAGTCGCACGTCCACGAATATAACGTCTCCCTGAACGTTCCTGTATGCCAACTGACTGCCAGATGAACTACCTAACATTTCTTTTATAAAAAAACTCTACATCCACACATTTTCTCAGTACGTTTAACCTGAACACAGTTTACAGGAAGACGTCTTATATTTGCTTGTAGGCATTAGCAGTCTTGGAGTCCCTTCATCCTCATGATAACTGCACAGTATTTTGTGACGTCGGTCCTCGTCTTGATGATGGAACTTCTTTTAACTAATACAGCTGGAATCCAATTTTCAGTCTTTATATTATTACACATGAAACTCACGTAAAGTTGTGTCCTTTCATTTATTAAACAAATTTCTTACACTTTCTAGTTCTCTCACTACCTAGTCCCTCCCAACGCCTGAGGTATAATGTTAGAAAAGTATCACGGAAGGAAGCTCTTAAACCATTTACTTTCCTATTAAAAACATAAACAAACATAACGCGATAAAACTATAACAAATGAATTTATATTTGAGTTATTATAGATTTAAGTTTTAATCATTTTCCTGCTTTAAAGAAAAAAATAAGGGTCTTAGCAAGTCTTCCCCAAATTTTGTTTTCAACATTGTTCGTCGAGTAACTTAAGTTTTGTTTACATTAGTCAGGTTGTCTAGACGCTCACCGACCTCTCCCGAACGGTCGTCATGAGGCTGTCGCTATCAACGCAGAATCCGAATCCTTGTACTGAGAATATCCTTTAAACTGACTTACTAAATTTTATTTATAATTTCAACACTTACTAGCCGTTCAGTTATTAAGTCTGTTCATGCGACTGAAAAATATATATATATATGCGGCCGGCATGACGGTATCCAAAATATGTGATGAGCGGCCGGCTAGTTTTTTTTACTTTTTCTTTTATCCTCTTCGCCACTGATCGGCTTGTTAGCCGCTTGGGCGATCGGTCACGTCTCTTTACATTTATATTCTTCCCCAAAAGATCGGCTCGCTAGCCGCCCGGGCGATCGGTCACGTCTCTGTCACGCACTGTTGGCAAATACTGGGCATGCACCGGCTCCTGAATGTACCTGAACCCGCTCCAGTGTTGGTCAAGTCTTCTCTTGAAAGAGCTCACACTCGGTGCCGTCACAACACTCTCTGGTAGATTGTTCCAAGAGTTTACAACCCTCACTCCGAAAAAGTTTGCCCTCACGGTTTTCTGGACTTGCGGCTTCTTCAATCTTGAGCTGTGACCCCTTGTGGGGCGAGCGTCCGCCAGCTCCAAGTAAGGACACTCAACTGAGTAGTGCCCCCTGAGATGCTTATACACCTCAACTAGGTCCCCCTTGCCCGTCTGTAGTATAAGCTAGGCAAGTTCAGGCGCTCCAATCTCTCAGGGTAGCTGAGGTGCCGAAGTGCAGGCACCAGTTTGGTGGCCCTCCTTTGAACATTTTCAACCAACTGACAGTCCCTAGCATATCTCGGGGACCAGATGGGGTGACAGTACTCCAGATGGGGAAGCACTTCACTCCTGAAGATCGTCACGAGGGACGGACCGTCTAGATATCTGAACGACCTTCTTATAAGACCCAATAATTTATTTGCCTGATTTACCTTCTTCTCACAATGGCCCGAGAACTTCAGCTCATTGTCAACATACACACCTAGGTCCTTCTCACACACAGTCTCAACTAGTACATTTTCTTCATCCCGTTGGGACATATGGTACGCCTCCTTACCGTTGGTACGCCCCAGGTGCATCCTCTTACACTTCGTGACATTGAATCTCAGCAGCCATTCCTTCGACCATTCCTGGAGCCCACAGAGGTCCTTCTGCAGCTCTTCACAGTCCGCTTGGTTCTTAATTTCCCGAAATAACTTGCCATCATCGGCAAACATTTGTATGGAGGAGTGTACAACGTCAGGCATATCATTTATGAAACAAACAAACAACAGCGGGCCCAATACACTACCCTGCGGTACCCCACTTGTTACAGGTACAGATGACGATTTCGTGCCATTAATCACCACACATTGCTTGCGGTCATGTAGAAAGTCTTCTATCCACGCTAGGACATTTCCCCGAATTCCGTACCCTTCCAGTTTGATTTTCAGCCTTTCGTGGGGTACACTGTCGAAAGCCTTGGCAAAATCTAGGTAAATATTGTCGATATTACCACCCCGTTCTAGAATATGGGTCCAAATATCCAATACCTTGAGCAATTGTGTTAAGCAAGAGCGCCCCGGCATAAAACCGTGTTGGCAATCTTTTACAAGGTTGTTTCGTTGTAGATGTTCCATCGCGGCATCTCTGATAATACTCTCAAGTACTTTACATATTATGCTGGTCAGGCTCACCGGTCTATAGTTGTTCGTGGAGTGACTATCGCCCTTCTTGAAGATAGGACTCACATAAGCCACTTTCCATTCACTGGGGACCATTTGTTCATCCAGGCATTTACAAAACAGAATCTTCAGGGGCTCTGCAAGCTCGTTGCACAGCTCTCTTAGCACTCTAGGATGCACCATGTCAGGTCCGGGACTCTTATGGACCTTTAGCCTGGACAGTTTATTTCTAATACCCTCTTCTGTGAACACAATGTGGGTCAGTGCTGTGTCGAACCGTCTGTCCTCAAACGCAGGAAGGTTAGTTGCATCCTCTCTTGTGAACACTGAGGAAAAGAAGCTGTTCAATGCGTCAGTTTTATCCTGGTCAGAATCTGCGTAACTACCATCTTCAAGCCTCAGGTCTGATACTCCTACTCGCGTTTTCAATTTCGACTTTGCATAGCGGTAAAACGCCTTTGGGTTTGACTTGACCTCGCGTGCAACCAGCCTCTGGAACTCCTTTTCAGCCCTCCTACACTCTATCTTTGCTTGGTTTCTGGCTCTTGCATACATCCTCCAGTCTTGCTCATCGTTTGACCCAACCCACGTCTTGAATTTCTGGGGTTTCTTCTTAATTTTGTCGACCGCCGCATGGTTCATGTGTAGTGATCCCCTCGTATTCCTAGAAGCACTGGGTTTGGTCTTGGGTATATATTTATCGATCAAATGGGTCATTTTACTAGTTATGATATTCAGCGTAGTGTCTGCGTTCTTGTACCTTAATAAGTCAGGCCAGTTGATACCCCTCATCTCTTCCCTCATCCCATTGTAATTTCCCTTGTAATATTTGCACCTTGGCTTGGCCTTATCTTGAACTAGGTAACAGTTAAATCTGAATGACAACACTGTATGGTGACTGGTGCCAACTGGGGCAAGGTGTTCCAGTTTGGCCACCACACCCTCCTCGTTTGTTATGATGAGGTCAAGTGGCTTGGGTGTTTGCTCCCCTCTGTAATGTGTCGGGTCTCTCACATGTTGGAACAGAAAATTATCTCTCAGAGTTTCTACAAAAAGAGTAGCAGGATTATTCAAGTCATTCGGGGTGGACTCGTTTCTCCAGTCGATGTCGCCATAGTTAAAGTCCCCCATGATAAGGAGGTGGCTAGGGTTGAGCATCGCCGCATTGTTTATTAAGGTTCTTAAGTTCCTTTGATTTAGTGGGCCACAGTTTGGTGATCTGTAGATACACCCGACGATAAGTAAGTCCCCTCCCTTTAATTTAATTTTACACCACTTGGACTCTTCAAAAACATCCTCTCCCTGTACCCTCGCCTGGCTGGCTCTAAGGTCTTGCCTAGCGTAGATAACCACACCCCTCCTGCAGGATTCTTGAGTTAGGTTCGTAAATGAGTCATATCCAGCAATACTGAACTCACATTCCTCTGGGTCGATTCTCCTGTTCTTGTACAACAGTTCTACAACTCCTACAATATCTGGTTGGTGTACCTTCAGTAGTGTTTCAAACTCCTCTCTCTTATCAAGGAACGTGTCAGTATTAGTGTACATGACATTCAAGCCAGAATTTGTTCTCGGTAACGTCTCTGCTCTTAGTAATAAACCCGCTCCACCCACATTCTCAGAAGCTGCAGCATTTGCTAAGTACACTGTATTTTGCAGGGTGTGGTTAGAAATGTCATTGTTTACACGGCGCTCGTTCCCTCCTGTCCGGTAGGCTGAGCTGGTGCCGCCTCCCGGGTGGGGGGTTGAGTGGGTGGAGGGTGCACTGCTGCCCCCTGGCCCTGTGTCGGCACACTTGTTTCCACTACCCTCCCCCTGAGTATATCCCATGTACACCTGTCCCCGTTCCTCCTCGACTCCTCCCTCTTCTGCTTCAAGTCCTGCAGGAGCTTCTTGTGCTGTTCCCTCTGCATTACCGTGCGGTCTGGGTGAATAAATACATCCCGAAATGCCTCGCTCCTTGCTAAGTTTTTTGCCTGCCGGATAACTTGCCATTTCTCCTCCTCACTCCCTAGTGTGATCCTGAGGGGGCGAGGCTTAGCCCCCTGCTTTTGTCCCAGCCTCCTCACATCCTGAGGGGTTGCTGGAATCTTCAGAACCTCTGTGCAAATATTTTGAAACAGCACTTTGTCGTGTGTTTCCTTACTCACAGTTCCCTCCCCCTGGCTCTCTGTGACTCCAAAAACTATTAGCCTACATTGTTCCTGCGCTGGTGCCGTTCCTGGTGTTCCTCCTCTCCCCTAACAGTAGGTCCGTTAATTTTCATTTCTTCGACACACTTTTTCAAAGTCCCAATCTGCTGTAGAACCTGTACTGATTCTGCATTACTCTCCGGAAGATACATTGTAAGAAAATGTCAATTTATAGTTACTCACCGGTCTTTCTCTCGCTGTTTTTAATATGTATTTCGTAATGTTTAGACAATTCTAAGACATTTTTCTTCTATGATATTTCGCCGGAAATTAAGGATAACCGAGATATTAATTTTTCCAAATTATTAGAGTTCCTCAGTCACAGGTGTCGCCATGATTTGTTAACATCTGGCACCTGTCTTTCTTTTGATATTAGAAATATGTCTTTCCCACCCAACAATCTTAACAGAAAAAGTTAGATTTTTTTCCGAACAAATCACATAAATAAAATACCAACTAACCAACCAACCAACAAAACCTAACCTAACCTAACCCCCACTTTATTCATGCTCCTACATTTGAATATCAGTCTCTAGCATACCTCGGGGACCAGACGAGGTGACAATACTCCAGATGAGGAAGCACCTCACTTTTGAAGATCGTGACGAGCGACGGACCACACAGATATCTAAATGACCTTCATATAAGATTTACTAGTTTCTTTGCCTGATTCACTCTTCTTACAATGGCCTGAGAACTTAAGTTCATTGTCGACATACACAACCAGATCCTTTTCACATTTGATCTCAATTAATGCAGTTTCTTTGTTCTAATGGGACATGTGATACGCTTCCTTACTGTTGGTGCGACCCAGATGCAACCTTTTGCTTCTTGTGACATTAAATCTTCGCACCCATTTATTCGACCATTCTTGAAGTTCATAGAAATCTTTCTGTCCTGTGGTACCCCGCTTGTCACAGGTACACTTGACGATTTTGTACCGTTTATCATCACACACTGTTGCAGTCATGCGGAAAGTCTCCGATCCAACCTAGGACACTTCTCCGAATCCCGTACCCTTCCAGTATAATTTTGTTCTCAGCTTTTCAGGGGTCCGCTGTCGAAAGCCTTGGCAAAATCTTGGTATATATTGTCGATATTTCCACCTTGTTCTAGAATTTGAATCCAAACATCCAGTACCTTGAGTAATTGTGTTATGCAAGATCGTCCCGGCATAAAACCATGTTGGCAATCTTTTACAAGGTT